AAAGATAATGGTTAGGGGAGGAATGAAAGGAAAAAAAAAAGGAAAGTGAAATAGTTTATTTGGTGGATGATAGGAGGGAAAAAAGAGAAATGCAGAAAAAAGAAGAAAAAAATGGTTAGGGAAGGAATGAAGGAAGAAATGAAAGAAAAAATGGATTTCATGGTTGATAGAAGGAGGGAGAAAAGACAAATGTAGAAAAAGAAGAAAAACTGATTAGGGGAGGAATGAAAGGAAAAAAAAGAAAGCAAAATGGTTTATTTGGTGAATAATAGAAGGAGGGAGAAAAGAAATATATAAAGTAGAAAAAGATTTTTTTTCTTAATTGGTGGATGACAAAAAATGGAAGAAAAGGGAATGTAAAGAATAAGAAGACGAAAGAGAAACACATATTGAAAAAAATATGAAGAATGAAAGGGGCAGAAAAAAATGTAAAAAAAGTAGAAGAAGAAAAAAGAGAAAAACACGAAGGGGAGAAAAGAGAATTATATAAAAAAAAACGAAAGCCGCGAGGAGAAGGAAATAAAGAACGAAAAAAAACACAGAAAAACGAAGAAAAAGCGAAAAAGCACACACTGAATTCCCCAAAGCCCAACAGCAACGGAAGGAGACGCCAATCTATTTAATTAAGAGAAAAGTTGATGTTCCAGCAATTCGATTCTCTAAGAATTTTAAAATAGACTTCTTCATATTCCTGAACAGATAAAAATACAACAATCAGTTAAATCATAGTTAAAATAGAAAAAAATACATTGGTAATAGTAGTAGTAGTAGTAATAATATTGACAATGATAATAATAATGATGATGATGACGATGATAAAACAATAATAGGAATAATGATATTAATGATAGTTATGATTATAATAATGATAGCAACAACAATAATACCAATAATAGCAGTAATAATGATAATGGGGAAGATGATAACAATAAAAAAAAAAAAAAAAAAAACTAACACACACACACACACATACAGAATAGGAGGAAAGGAAAAAACGAAAGAAGAAAAATAAAAGAGAGAACAAATTCACACACTAAGAAAGACGCCAATCTATTTGATTAAGAGAGGTTTTAAATAGAGTTCTTTATTCATCGAATCCAACTATTCGATTTTCCGGGAATTTTGACGAATGTGATCACAAGTACACATGCACATCCCCCTTCCACACACACACACACACACAACCCCCTTCCACTTTCCACACCCCTCCTTCCACACACACACAACTCCCCTTTTCTTAACACACACAACCCCCTCCCCCCTTCACACACACACACACATACCCACCCCTTACACTTTCCACACTCCCCCTCCTAACACATCACACAACTCCCGCCTTTCCTTAACACACAACAACACCCCCTCCCCTTCCACACACACCACACACACAACCCCTTCCACTTTCCACAACCCTCCTCCTTCCCACAACACAACTCCCCCTTTCTTAACACAACACAACCCCCTCCCCCCTTCTCACCACTACACACACACCAACCCCTTCCACTTTCCACACCCCTCCTTGCCACAGCACACACAAAACTCTGCTCGCTATTTCTTAACACAACATCCCTCGCCCTCCCCTTCCAGGCCACACACACCCACACGACACAACCCTTCCACTTTCCGACACCCTCCTTCCACAAACACAGACAACTTCCCTTTCTTAACACATCAGCAAGCCCGCCCTCCCCCCTTCCACACACACACACACACACAAAACCCCTTCCACTTTCCACACCGCTCCTTCCACACACATCACAACCCCTCCTTTCTTAACACACACCAACCCCCCTCCCCCCTTTCCACACACACACACAGCACACAACCCCCTCCTTCCACTTTCCACACCCTCCTTCCACACACACACAACTCCCCCTTTCTTAAACACACACAAACACCCCCTCCCCCCTTCCACACACACACACACAAGGTGATCTGCTAGGGGACACAACCCCCTTCCAACTTTCCACACCCCCTCCTTCCACGACACACCAACTCCCTTTCTTAACACACACAACCGCCCCTCCCCCCATTCCACACCACACCACACACACACAGACCCCCTCTTCCACTTTCTCACACGCCTCTCACTAGTCCAGGCACACACACAAACTCCCCCTTCTCTTTAACAACACACAACCCCCCTCCCCCTTCCACAACACATCACAGCAACACAACCCTCCCACTTTCCACACCCCCTCCTTCCAACACACACAACTCCCCTTTCTTAACAACACACCCCCTCCCCCCTTCCACACACACACACACACACACAACCCCTTCCACTTTCACACCGCGCCTCCTTCCACACACACACAACTCCCCTTTCTTAACACACAACAACCCCTCACCCCCTTCCACACAACAGAACACACACACAACCCCCTCCACTTTCCACACCCCTCCCTTCCCACAGCACACAACTCCCCCTTTCTTACCCACACAACCCCCTCCCTTCCACACACACACCCACAACCCCCTTCCACTTTCCAACACCCCCTCTTCCACACACACACAACTCCCCCTTTCTTAACACACAAAACCCTCCCCCCTTCCACACACAACACACAAACCCCCTTCCACTTCCACCCCCTAGGCGCTGCTCCACACACACACAAACTCTCCTGTCTTAACCACACCACAACCCCCTCCCCCTTTCCACACAACCACGACAACACCAACCCCTTCACTTTCCACACCCTCCTTCCACACACATGTCGAAGTCAACTCCCCTTCTTAACACCACACAACCCGCCTCCACCCTTCCACACACACACACACAACCCTCCACTTTTCCACCCCCTCCTTCCACACACACACGAACTCCCCTTTCTTAACACACACACAACCCCATCCCCCCCCTTCCACAGAACACACACACACAACACAACCCCCTTCCACTTCCCCACACCTCCTTCCACACAGCACAACAAACTCCCCCTTTCTTGAACACCCACAACCCCCTCCGTCCCTTCCACACACACACACACACACAACCCCTTCCCACTTTCCACACCCCTCTTCCACGACACACACAAACCCCCTTTCTTAACACACACAACCGCCCTCCCCCTTCCAACACACACCACACACACAACACCCTTCCACTTTCCAACACTTCCATCCTTCCACCACACACACAACTCCCCTTTCTTAACAGCACACAACCCCCCTCCCCTTCCACACACAACACACCACGCACAACCCCCTTCCACTTTCACACTCCCTCCTTCCCAACATCACACACAACTCCCCTTTCTTAACACACACAACCCCCTCCCCCCCTTCCAACACACATCACACACACAACCCCCTTCCCACTTTCCACACCCCTCCTTCCACACACACACAATCCCCCTTGTCTTAACACACCACAACCTCCCCTCCCCCCATTCACCACACACACACACACAACCCCCTTCCACTTTTCCACACCCCCTCCTTCCAGCACACACAACAACTCCCCCTTTCTTAACACACACAACCCCCTCCCCCCTTCCACACAACACACAACACACTAACCCCCCTTCCACTTTCCAACACCCCCTCTTGCCACACACACCACAACTCCCACTTTCCTTAACACACAACAACCCCCCTCGAACCCCTTCCACACACACACAAACACAACCCCCTTCCACTTTCCACACCCCCTCCTTCCACAACACAACACAACTCCCCCTTTCTTAACACACCACAACCCCCCCCCCCTTCCACAACACACACACAAACAACCCCTTCCACTTTCCCACACCCCTCCTTCCACACACACCAAACTCCCCTTTTCTTAACACACAACCCCCTCCCCCTTCCACACACACCACACACACACACAACCCCCTTCCACTTTCCACACCCCCTCCTTCCACACACACACAAACTCCCCCTTTCTTAACACACACCAACCCCCCTCCCCCTTCAACACACACACACACGACACAACCCCCTTCCACTTTCCACACCCCCTCCTTACCCACACACACACACCCCCCTTTTCTTAAACACACACACCCACCCCTCCCTGTCCCTTCACACACAACCCCTTCAACTTTCCAACACACACACAACTCCCCTTTCTAACCACACACACCCTCTCCCCCTTCACACCTCAAACACAACCCCTCCACTTTCCAACCCCCCTCCTTCCACACACAAACACTCCCCCTTTCTTAACACACACAACCCCTCCCCCGCTTCCCACACCACACACACCACAACCCCCTTCCACTTTCCACACCCCCCTTCCAACACACCACAACCCCCCTTTCTTAACACACACAACCCCCCTCCCCCTTCCAACACCACCCACACACACAACCCCTTCCATTCCCACACCCCTCCTTCCACACACACACAACCCCCTTTCCTTAACAACACAACCCCCCTCCCCTTCCACACCTACAACACAACACAGACAACCCCCTTCCACTTTCCACACCCCCTCCTTCCAACAGCACACAACTAATCCCCCCATTCCTTAACACATCACAAACCGCCCCTCCCCCATTCCAACACACACAACCACAACCCCCCCGCCCCACACCCACACAACACACCCTTCCAAACACACACATCCCTCTCCTTCCACACACACACACAACCCCTTTCAACCCCTCCCCTTCACACACACACACAACCCCCCTTTCACCCCTCCGCCCCCTTCCACAATCACACACAACCCCCTTTCACCCCCCCTCCACACACACACACAGCCCCCTTTCACCCTCGGCCCCTTCCCACACACACACAACCCCCTTTCACCCCCTCCCCCTTCCACACACACACACAAGCCCCCCTCACCCTTCCACACACACACACAGAGAAACATGAACTAGTCCCCAATACGTATAAGTAAGAAGCTCTTTTCAAGTTATTGACAACAAGAAGAGAGTTCGTGAATTGAGAAACTTTTTGACGGAATGGCCAGCGACTCCCTCTGCCAGAAAGCAAATTACAGATGAAAAGTTTGGTGAACTTTTTAGAAGGTGAAGTTTGGAAGA